AACTACGTAGTAGTTACGTACGTACGTACTACCTACCCGTACCGTACTAGTCCACCCACCCTACCCACCACCGTACCGTCGTTCTTACTACTACGTACTCTCTACTAACTACTACTTAGTTTAGTTAACTAACTACTCTCTCTCTCTCTCTCTCTCTCTCTCTCTCTCTCTCTCTAATGCGTGCCTTAATGTTGCAGAGGAGGTGTTGCGATGGCTTGCTGGTAATTCGACGAGCAAACTGCAGATAATAGCACAGTATTGGCAGCTACTTGCGCAACCCAATGACCCTCGCTCTGGTGACTATGGCTTCTCCCTCTCTGATTTGAGAAGATTTGGGGCTTCATCAGGTCTCTCTGTATACAAAGCCATTGAAGCTGCAGCTGATCGAAATGTTAATGTCAAGTAATTAATTTTCCATTTCCTTTTATGATAATGTTTCTCTCTCTAAAAATGTATTTCTCCATAAAAAAAAGATTAGCTTTACAATTGTGGTCTCTAGACGTTGTTGAGGAACTTACAGATTGAAAAAAAATTGGATTTTTCAGAATGAGTTTTTTCATTATTGATATAAAACGCTGTTATGTGAGAAGTAATAATAAGAGATACCTATAGTGCCATGATCTATTTTTACTTTTATCTGAGACATTAATTAATTAATGTCACTTGGTTTTCATTGTTTACTTGGATTGCGTCATAAATTATTTAATATTTCTAGGCTATCATAATAAATTTTAAGTTTTTGGCCCTGTATTGTGACTGAACTGCAAGTTCATTAACTCATTAACAAATAATATTACTTACATGAGCTTTTGTGCTTTTTTGTTTCCATCCAATTGAAATAAGATGGTACTCAATTAGATTAAACCATTGAAGAAATCTCTCTCTCTCTCTCTCTCTCTCTCTCTCTCTCTCTGCTAATTATGAGACGGCTATTGATACTGAATGGCTTAAAAGATATTCAGTCTGATGGTGTCCATAATAAATAGTTAATAAGATTCTCCATTAAATATAGAATAAGAGAAGAAAAGAGAAGTGAAAAACTGGTGAATGATGATGCACACTTCACATCTAACGAGTGTCTTTATGTTATAGGATTGTTCAGCACTCTGGTGTATATCCAGATTATGAGCAAGAATCAGCCCATCTTGCTTCAGGGAGACCCAATGTAGAGAATGTAACCTTATTGCTCGGCGATTGGTGGGGTTCTGGTATAGTCCATGCAAAAGTTTGGATATCTGATAACAAAGATGTCTATATTGGATCTGCAAACAATGACTGGAAGTCCCTTACTCAGGTACTTTGTGCACGAATACCTTCTTGTATAACTCATTTGTTATTTCCTTGTTTGGCATTGAACTAGTTAGAAGATTGTTTGATTTGAAAACTGGTGATCTTTGGATGATTTGAAAATGTATTGGAAGATTGTTATAAAAATAAGGTTACCCCTCCAAAATAATCATGTAATCTCAGTATTGAATTGCTTTCTAGGTTAAAGAGGTTGGAATATATCTTGTGGATTGCCCTAATGTAGCTTCAAAGGTGGATACATACGTCAACAACTTGTTGAAACTTGCTTCTCTGAATTCTTCACTATACACTAGAACAGTTTGGGATAGTGAGTGGCAATCTCGTAGAAAAGTTCCTTGCTGGTCTCATTTCGTTGCTCTGAAGGAGAGATGCAGGTATGTGATTTATGGCTCATGTTTTCAAGATGTATGTTGATGTATGTTTCTCGTATGTGTCAGCAAGATGTGTTGAATATTTGATGATTAGTTTATTATTTTTTAATTTTGTTTTTTTCGGTTGGGGGTGCCCAGCATACCGCTGGAGGGGGGGGGAGGGTACGAGTACAATGGGGAAGGGGCCAATGGAACTTAAGATGTCATGCTGTGGAGCCCCACCACCCGGAGTACCTAGCCTTGAGCCCATTCCTGTACTACACTACTCTTGATTGATCTTTAGAACCTTGTTATACATTTTGTGTGCTACATAGACATGGTTGTTGTGTCTTATAGTAGTGATTTTTCAGGATATATATCACTGCTGGTATCAAATTTAGTGGGTATGTATAGGTACTAGACATTCTGGTTAAATTTTTCTTCAAAAGTTCTGAAATATCCTGCTAAGTGTGCTTCTATTATATACGCCAAGAAGATGTTGGAGATTACTTCAGAAAAATGCATTTGTTTTATTAAAAATTACTTCCCATGGCTAATTATTTGTTTTTACTTTGAAGCTGAGGTGAGGTGAATGTGAATGAGCAGTAGATTATCTTCAACTAGATGATGATTAAAACTATCAGGAACTTCATTTTGAAAATTGAAACTGTACCTTCAAACTTGATCTGATCTTGTAGCAATTTTCATAGCATATAAAGGTGAGCGTATCTGCATATGTAAAGAATTGAAAAGCATTCATTGACCAAAATTTTCACCCATGGTCAGAGCCTCTATTTAAATGAATAAGGAAATATGTGATGACCTTTTCTTTTCTCTCAGGTTATTTGTGAATCATGTGAATCATGATCTTTCGTTTCTAGCGAAATTCAGTTTCGTGATGAAAAAAGAGTAGCAAGTTTTGATTATTTGAGGATAACACCCTATGACTACGATGTGGATCCTTTTGTTCCAAAAGAAGTGCACGACTAATTTATAATTGTGAATCCAATCGGACACCAAATCTATGTTATCCTAACAAGTTTTTGTCAACTGTGACAAATGAGTATTGTTTCAGTCTGTCTTATTCTTTTAATCACCGATATTATTGACCCCATGTCAATGCTTACTTGATCTCCTTTGGCATTTGTTTGGCAGTACTTTTATCTCTTACATCATTGTTAAAAGCAAAAATTCATGATTTTGTCATTCTAACACTAGTCCTGTAACTCACGGTCTATTTAGGTTAAAGATCCATGCATCCAATTCATTCCAAGTTATACAACTATGCATGATCTTATGGCTTCTGCAACAGTTATATTTGAGTTTCAGAAGCACAAAATTATTTGGCTTTCGCCAACACTATATGTGGCAGTAGTAATAGGTGGTAAAACATTCCTCTATTCCTACGCACATCCACTATTGTGTTCATTTCCACTATTTATATAGGTTTAGTGCGATTCTCTTTCCAATAGTTCACTTCTTTTATGATGAACCAATATCTTCGGGATTCCTAGTTAAATCATCAAGTTCCATCTGTTCTGTGGTTCCTTTTCTCTGTTCCATGGTTCCTTTTCTCTGCTAAAAGAATTTTCTGTCCTCAGCAATAATGCTGGAATATTTTCTTCTTCAGTGATAAATGCTAGGTTTGAAGGATTTGACACATATATGTATCTTCGGTACTCTATGATATTCTTTATTTTATTTTATTTTTTCTGTTTTTTTGGTCAACAGTTCTATTTCTTTGAGATTGTTTGTACTTAATGTCAAATGCAGGTCCCCTCTTCCTACATATATTGAGACTCCTAATGTGATGGGTTACCCTGTAATATCAGACCCTTTTATGTTCAAAATACGTATTGATACACCAGGGCACAATAAAAGCACATCAAAGGAGAGCCTCAGCTATCTTTCTTTTTCTCCTCCCGAGGTATGCATGAGATTCTTTTTTTCTTTTCTTTTATAAAAAACTATAACTAGCTTAGTCACTAATATCATTGTTCTACATGACATCTAGTTGGCTGGTCTTTTTTTTATTCTATTTGGTTTTGTTACGGGTGTTTATGTATGAGTTTATTATTCAACTGTATTTTTTTAATATCGTATGGAAATGCAATTTCACACATTTACTCACTTGATCCATGACTTTATGGTTTACGCTGCAGCTCTCATTTGGCAAGTTTCAGACAGATGAACAAGCATGGATAGATACAATCAAGTCCGTTAATTTTGGAGGAACCGTTAGGATGAATACCATGGATTGGCTCAGCCAGTCTCAATATGTAGATCAAACTATCTATTGGTCTTCACTCTCATCTGCAATATCAGAGGTAACCATATCATTTCATCATTCTACATTATCACCATGAAATCTCAAACTCACTTCTAATGTCCGCAAAACCAGGAGAAAACTCCTCTGAAGTTCACTTACTAATGTTCCCAAAACCAGGTGGTTTTCTCCAAGCAAGCAACCGTGAAGATTCTAGTGGCATATTGGGGACACTTCATAGAAAACACAGATCAATATCTCAAGTCCCTCCTTTATTCCAACATACTCTGTTCATCTTCGAAATATAACAAATGTGGTGGCAAGGTTGAGATCAAATATTACAAGGTACCTGGTTTCAATTCGACTGGACCAGCCATTAGAGAGGGCAATAGAACAGGGAATATTTACCCTGGTTATACCAGGGTTAACCATGGCAAATATGCAGTGAGTGATGTGCGGGCCCATATTGGAACAAACAACCTTGTATGGGATTACTTTTATACGACAGCCGGTGTGAGCTTTGGGACATATAATGAAGCCATTGTTTCACAACTGCAAGAAATCTTTGATGCAGATTGGGATTCTCCTTACGCTGTCTCAGTTGAGCCATTGCAGGGAGCTTGATGGTCACCAACCTCAAGGAAATTGTATGCTCTTCAAGAGATTTTGATTGTTTTTTTGGAGTATGAATCATTGCACATTTAAACACGTAGCTTTGTGGGCAGCTGGTTTCATGGATCCAAAGCCTCTCTCTCTCTCTCTCTGCTTGTGTATGCGCACATGCACATACACACCCTTCTAAGGAATGTTTGCAGTAGAAACCAGTTGTACAATCCTTAAATTCTAAACATGGGAAACTTCTTTATCAGAATAAGATGTCAGCAACAATGATAATAACTAGTAACTACATGCATCAGACCTGAATGATGTATGCTATCATCAACTTTAAATAGAAAAAACATAGCAATGATGTTCTTACTGTGTTTGTGATTCAAGTTGGGTTCAACTCTTAAAATCATAATGAAGTCATTTCAACTTGAAAATGAGTCTAGCAATATAAAGCATTTTCATGGAAGAAAGGAGTCTAGCAAGTGCTCAATCTCTGGTTTCGTCCACCAAAAAGGATCAGGAACCATGTTCCAAAAGATTAATTTAAAAAAGATACAACATCAATACAACAAAAAAATCTCAGTTCGATGAAAAACAGCATTAGAAATACAAACTCCCAGTAGGTATGGATCATCATTTACACGGATTCTTCGATCAGTCTCACCGTACGGGGTAGCATGAACTCTGCAAATAGAGGATAGTGAGAAGATGGATAAAGTCCATCAATGTTGTCATTTATGACTTCACAAGATGCAGGACACAAAGAACGGCCTCTATAAAGGATCCAATCAATATGCAAATCCTGGGTTTGGCGATCCCAGCAAAGACAAAGGGCCCGAAGTATCAACTTTATTAGTTCGAGAGCTCCCTGTTTATCACCTGGAGTCAAATATCTCCAAAACCAGAGTTATGTCCAGATTGTTAAGCCTCTCTCTCTCTCTTTCTCTCTCTCTCTTTGAGGAGGAGAGAGCTGAACCCAAATTGGCAATTTTAGAACTAAAGGGTGAAATGTACCTTTAAAACCATGATAGGTGCGTATAAGTGATACGTTTTTCCTTGTTCGAGCGCTGGGCCAAGCATCCCTCATGTCACCTACAACTCCATGCTCTCTGTGAGAATTGCCACAAGCGAAGAGAACCACACAACAATGTCAAACACCATAACAATGAATTCTAGACGTGATTAACAAATAAAATAAGATAAAACTAAAGACATGAAAAAAAAATCCTAGACATGATACATATCCACTATTTCCTAAAAAGAACTCTGAGACTCTTTTAACTTTTCCTCAACAAATGATGGTTGATGAGATGAAATTGCTTAACAGGTGTTAATGTTATCATCGCCATCATCGCCTTTTTTTTAAGAATTGTTGACTGTAAAGTATGATATCATCATCATTCTGATTACATCAATAAAAGTAAAAAAAGAGGGGAAATTCTAGGCCTACACCATATAATAAGCACAATACCATTAGTGGGTATTATGATTATAAGATAATGATACTCCTCGGTGCAGTCATTATGATTTTTTTTATTATTATTATTATTATTATAACAAAATTATGATTTCTTACTATTTCTCTGTTAACCAGAAAGGACGGGGAGTTGAAACAATATCAGAAGTAGCTAAACTTACCCAGAAGAAAGAGAACAAATTAGTTAAGGTGAAGCAAAATGCATAACATCTGGATATTTAGATTTTTCTATCATCTTTTGTCCCACCCCACAAACTCCATTATTACTACGGTACTACCCAAACCTCAATTCCCATTCTACTTTAGGATACAGACCTCCTCCCATCTCGTCAAGCGAATACGAAACCTATTCTCACACACGTGCTACAGTTCATACATGCTATACAGTATTCGCAATTTTAAACCTCTAAGGAGTTTTAACAAAATTTATCATCTACAGGTTGTAATTTTCATGAATGATCTTGATGTCAACATTGCATTATATGCATCAGGTAGGTACAATAACAACACACAAGCTTTAAAAGTATCAGGCAAATGATAGTCAAATTAGGAAAAAATCAATCCCTGCATCTACAAAAAGAGAGAAACAAATCTCCATGTGTACATGTGTTTTGAGACCTATTAAGACTAGCATTTTAAGCATACCTTGACCTTCCAAGGAGAAATCGGCCTGTTGTTGATTCCTTTTGAGTGTTGAATACTCCACAATACACGACTGGCAAGTTAGGTGGAAGGGATGCTATATGCTGCCACGTAAGCAAAGCACTTCGCCTACGAGCACGAGCACTGAATTCATCCATGTTCGAGTTCACAATCTGAAAGCTGAACCCAGGTGGCTCAACTCTCTTGAGTTGAAACGTGTAAAAATTATGTCAAGAAAAGCAGCTATACATACTGTATTTTCCATACAAAATCACATATCGAGTACGATACAATCTCATCTTTTTTATTTTTTTGTCTGATTGGCACATGATATAACCTTATATTTGATCCTTACACATCAAATATGATATAATCTCAAAGGCCATAACTTAAGTACTGGTCAGAGCATCAGACCCAAATGAAGATATTGGAGTTTAAAATTCATGCATATAAAAAAATACCAAGCAAAAAGAATTAACAGCAAAGAAGGTAAGCTTCACAAACATATTAAAATGGAAAAGGATATCGCCCATGTCGCAATGCATGGAACTTCAGATCCCCATGACATGCTTCCTGGAACAGAAGGTGACTCAGACAACCAAAAGGTTCCACCTTCTAAAAATTCCACCTTCAATTGGATAAACAAACAACTTAGATGAAGTTCGAAGAAAATATATTTGGTTGATCAAAAACCTGATTAGGTCTTAAACGAAAGGGAAGGTAAAATAATTCAATTGACTATGGGGAATTCACAGTTAGGCCATCACTATCCGTGAAATGATAGACTGTGATGGAGAGAAAGTGAGACCCCAGAACAGAGTATGACCCCAACAGTGCATCCTACTCTCTCCATCACTGCCATCATTTCATTGGACAGTGTGATCCAATGGAGTAAGGTTTTTCCATAGTCCATTCTACTATAGTTTAATTTTCTTTATTTAATGAGGTCCTGAACATAATATCGGGAGGTAAATCGCTAGCACAATACCTTCTCTTTATCATAGAAAATTGAGCAGTGCTCATCTGTAACATCCTGTGAACCTTTTCTAGAGATCCCAAATTGCTCATAACCTGAGATACAATTTAATTTTCAGCAAGAATATGCATGGTTACATATGAACTTGGGTACAGACAGTCAAAGATTATACCAGGAAAGACAGAATGACCAGAAGATAGGAAAATGTTTAACACTTCAACGACAAAATACCCACAAGAGAAAAATCACTTAACATTATAAAACACCACACTCCCAAAGGAAAAAGAATAGAAAAGAAAAGGAAGAATGGTACCTAGCTTGAGTTTCTTCTTCTTCATCTTCTTCTTCTTCTTCTTATTTTATTTTACTTTATTTTATTTCCTTTTTGGGTTTGGTTTTCTAATATAAAGATCAAAAGACAAGAGAATGATTATAAAGCTATTATAAATGAAAAGGAAAAGAGAGAGACCACTGTCAGAATTACTTCACAGCATTCTATCATATTTCATATCATGTTGGCGGTAAACACAGTTGTTTATCTAAAAACGATAGTCAAAGTAGTCATCCATGGCCACCTCACAGAAGGTTTTCAAGATTGAAACATTTTACCATGCATATAGGATCTAGAGGTCATCATTGGCCATCATCCTCTAAGCTTACAGTACATTTACAACATTAAATTGAGGAAGTACCCAGCAACTTTATCGCTTTCCAATTAGAAGGCAAATGCTCCACGAACCAATATATTATTATCTCAAGCACAATGCTATCTCCTTTATCTACAAGTCCAAAGGTTCAATGTAAAACATGGACAAAACTTCCAATGAGAAGCATAACTATTAATGAAAGCCCATCAAGCCAGATAATCCCTTGCTTCTTCTTTGCTTTTTTTTTTTTTTTCGTTTAGTAAACAAGGTCATGCAATTTCTATTTCAGAAAGGTTCTTGTCTCGCACCACCATGGGTCGCATGTTTTATCAGTAAGACAGATTTTTATCAAAGAAATGCAACAGCACAATAATTGCTAATTTGCTATATGTTCTAGGAGAATATTTGGACTCAGGATTGTTTTCAAAGATAACAAACCATTTTCTGCAAAATAGGTGATAATCATATTTTTTGGATCACGATGATACTGCATATCTATGATGCTTACAAATTACTGCAAAGTATGGTGAGATATTAGGAATAGATCATTGGTGGATATCTCTTAGTCTCCAACACCAAATGGTGCAATGTTCTTTAGACATATTTCTCTGCAAACTTTAGAAGCGATAGCCTCCTTAAATGGCATCCCTCCTGCTCACTGAGGGGTGACATATATCACTATAAAGCAACTCATAGTCAACAGCAGTTAGCTTCATATGCCCACTCGTGTTTCCACTCCTACCCCGGCAACTAATGGGGATTATGGGAGCGTGAAGATAGACTTGATTGGTAGAAGACTTTCTAATCAGAGAAGTAGATGATATTTGCCAACTATTTTTAGTCAAATATACTAGTGTCTCAAGCCTTTTCATTTCCAAAATGGTTCTATCAACACAATGCAGCCATTCATTAAGTTTCTAAGTGCTTTAGATGTTCGATCATATCTCAAGGGGATCCTTTTCAAGCCACACATTATTTTGACATGATATGCTCACGGTGTATGATTTAGAACATTTTAGAATAATTAAAATGTACATAATTTTATGGAGATGCATGATCAGATCCTTCTTTTTATTGACAAAGAAGACTTACAATCTCCTGCTTTTGGGGTGATTTTGCATCATCGAGATTCAAGAAGATTAATTAATCCACTAAAGCTGAAAAGAACTCAAGATAAGAATTCTCAAAGTACGATTCTCAGAGTACGTTTGAGCAAAACACAGGGGATACCTATATCTAAGATATGGAAACATAAATATTTGGGCATCAAAACAACCTCTTCTAGTGAAATTTTTTAGTTAGGCTCAAATTTGATTGTTTAGAGCCTCGGCTCTATATAAACTTTTCCCAAGAGACATTCAATCTATTACAGAAAGCAGTTCCCTCAAATTTACAGATCAAGAAAAAGAAAGTTTGATTTATGACTTGTGGGCATGGGTTTTCATGATAAAGTACATTAGTAGCAACCTCATTAACTCAATCCAATTTAAACCCAACATCGTTTCGTCAAAACAGGGTAAAAAGGAAAAGCCTCGGTTGTAAACATGGTTTTCATGACAAATTATAAAGTAACCCAAATAGCTCAAATCCAATTTAAACTCAACACCATCTATTCAAGTCAAATACCTGGCAAACACTGTTGCAGAAACTCCAACTGTGGTTTTAGACCTGAATGCCGCAAAACCCCACACCCATAAACATTTACACATGATATCCAAACAAGAAGAACCAGAGAGAAAGAAGTACCTTGTTGGGTACAAAGGATCATAGGGGAGTAGCTGGTAATAACACTGATACAGATATCCCTGCGATTCTGCCATGAATTGGGGCTGTCTGGCTCCTGGTCGTCAAGGAGATTGAAGGTCATAACAGTGAGAGAAACACTCATTTTCTCAGCAAAACCTCTCTCTCTCTCT